GATCACTGTTCTTTTTCAGTTACTTAGGTACGACGGGTGACAGGCGTTTAAGCGTTCCGACACGTTAATACCGGTGCTCAGGGGGGCTATGTTGCGCTTTTTGCACTCCCAGGGGGGCTATGTTGCGCTTTTTGCACTCCCAGGAGACTAGGGAGAGGGAAGTGACGTCAACGACACAGCAAACGCAGATTGGGTGTTGATTTCGTTTTCTTCTGTCAACATCCAATCTGCATTTGCCTTGTCGTTGACGTCACTTCCCTCTCCCTAGTCTCCTGGGAGTGCAAAAAGCGCAACATAGCCCTCCAGGAGACTAGGGAGAGGGAAGTGACGTCAACAACGCAGCAAATGCAGATTGGATGTTGATTTTATTTTCTTCTGTCAACATCCAATCTGCATTTGCTCTAGTCGTTGACGTCACTTCCCTTTTCCAAGTCTCCTGGGAGTGCAAAAAGCGCAACATAGCACCCCGGGTTCCCGGTACCTACCGTGTTTTCAACCTGATGGACGCGTGAGACGTAGCAATACTTTTAACGCTGTGTCTAAAGCTACGTGTCGGACGTACCCGGAACGAGGAGTCTAAAGGTACGTTGGACGTATCCGGAACGAGGACTCTAAAAGTATGTCGGGCGTATCCGGAACAAGGAGCCTAAAGGTGCATCGGACGTATCCAGACCCTGAAGCCTTAAAGCTCGTTCCCAGTCTTGCAACCGAGTACGACCGAGAGAGACGAGATCTCTTAAAATTTCTTAGGACAAGAGAACACACTGGCGCCATCTATGCGGTGTCCCTGGAACTGCATTTTACAATAGCGAAGGTTTTCCGGGATTTCCGAGGTCAAATGTGTGTAATACCTAAGAGAAAGGCTTGTTTATAGCGTTGACAAAAGTTTTTCCAGCCAAGAAAGAAAGGATAATGTGCGAGCGAAATAGAAAGTGTGCCGGACCGCCAAGCTTACACTGTTACCCAGTAGATGGCACCAGTTTGGTTTCTCGTCGTAAGAGGTTTCAAGGAACTTGGTTCTAAGAGGTCGCAAGAGTGTGAACGGGCCTTTAAGATGCATGACGGACATGCGCTGAACCGGGAGATGCGTCGGACGTAGACGCGGTAGGGAAAGGTTGTATCACAGCGGGTCATAGCATGCCTCACTGAGACCCCACTGTCAATTTTCATTCCAGCTTTATTTCTCATTGCTACTGTAATTAGTTCATTCTATGCACTCCTTTCGTTTCACACCCGCAATGTGCAACGAGGGGGGGGGGTGCTTAGTTTCATGAAATGCTCCGTAATTACAACATTTGTGCAAGAAATATCAATTGATTATAGGAAATTCATAAGAAAAAAGTCACAGAACAAATAAAAATAACCCCGACGAGAATTAACCTGCTCGCCGTCAATTCTCACCGCGCACCACGGTCAACCAGTTGCTCTCAGTACGACTCGACGAGTCCTCGGTGGCCCCGTCCAGTTAGCTGCAAACAAACTCACGAATTTTCTTCTCAATTTCCAAATGTCGACTTTTGCATTATTGTGCCGTCCCGAACACTTTTTACGGATCGCGACGCCCTTGAATACCTACACCCGCTGTCTTTTCCACCGCATCACACGGTATCGCAGATGCTCTGCAGTGCCGTGGTTACCGTTGTCTTTCGCATACCTGATCACCGTCCGCTCTAACTTCACTGTGTACAAAGTCCTCTTCGCACTCATGGTGGACAGCAAAGTTATGAACGCCTGAACATATGGGCTAAACCGCAAAACAAAAACAAAACCGAGGTGCGCTTGCAAGTCAGACGACGGAGTCGAACGAACGGCGACGAAACAAAAACAGAGCACACAACGTCTTACCTGTGCCTATATTCTAAGGCGCCTGCGCGGTAGCGCAAGTGCCGTTGTGTGCCGCCATCTACCAACTGATGACGAAACCGAGTGCTGGGGACCAGAAGGTGGTGTGCTGCCGGCACGTAAAGGTGGGCACAAAACTAAAAGCGTGGATAAGACGAGCAAAGAAAAGGGGAAAGGAAACAAGCAACGTTTCAGACGCTCGGCCTTGATGGAGAGCAGACATCGCATGTCTCCGATCTCTAATTCCTTGTACAGAATTGGGGCGCTTACAATATGTCCGACGTATCTTTAGACTCGAACTTGCGGCTTCGTCCGACGTACCTTTAGACTCCCCATTCCAGATACGTCCGACGTACCTTTAGACACAGCATACTTTTAATCCATTTCCAAGGCGACCAGGAAGCTCCAGTGCAACAGCTCCACGTTGGACGACACCTCAGCGTGCTGCAAGTTGGTGAAAACGACCGTTTTTTTTTTTTCGTTTGAAAGGCCTCCAGCGTCTGCGGGGAAACTGTCACAACATGTCGTTTGGGTTCAAACAAACCGTTGCTAGGGGCGTTGCTATAGACTAATGCATGCAGACTCCACATGAGGCTAAACTTTTGCTTACAAGTAAATAATTTTTTGTGAGCAATCTAACTTCTTGATATCTAATTATGAAGATGTTCTTGTCGTTTCTGTGTCGTATTGCGACGGGGAAAGCCATTCCGCTTTGCTTTGGTAGCAGACGACACAATAGATTTGCTGGCCTACCTCTGTTGCAGCGGGCATCTTCATTGAGTTGCTTCTGTAAACCAGTGACGAAAACAAGTGCATCATCATGACCGTAAAAGCTTCGGCAATGTGCCTTTTTTTTTTTTTCATTGTGAAGAATATAGCTTTGTTCGGCGGCGCGAAAATGCCGTAAAATCAACCCACGTCAATCAAATCAGTTACGACGACGACCCGAGGTGCGTTACCGGCGTAGTGCAGGCCAGCAATCTTACACCTTCGAGGGAAGTCGTTTATTATTATTATTATTATTATTGTACTAAATTAAAAAAAGCTAGTCCAAACAGGAGAACACATGAAGAGCACAATGAAAAAAAAAAAAGAAAAAGTCATTAAAGGTAGATATATAAGCATAAACAAAATAACCGGATAGCGCATGGACACAGGCATACATCTGAACGCCGTTTTACCATAACATTGTTAAGGCCCGTTCACAGTCTTGCAACTTCTTAAAACTGGGTTTCTTGAATCCTCTTACGAGAAGACACACTGGCGCCATCTATTGCGTAGCAGTGTAAACTTGGCGGTCCGGCATATTTTCTATTTGTCGCGCATTATCCTATCTTTCTTGGCTCGAAAAACTTTTGTCAACGTTATAAACAAGCCTTTCTTAAAGGTATTACGCACATTTGACCTCGGAAATACCGCAAAACCTTCGCTTTTTGTTAAATGCAGTTCCAAAGTCGCCGCACAGATGGCGCCAGTGTGTTCTCTCGTCCCAAGAAATTTTAAGAGGTTTTAACAAGTCTCGTCTTTCTCAGTTGTACTCAATTGCAAGAGTGAACAGGCCTTAAGCACCGTTCAGTCTTGCAACCGAGGAAGACCGAGAGACCAGGCCGGTTTCTAAGCCTCTTGTGATCTCTTAGGACGGGATGCGTTGCAGCGGAGCTGGTCCCAAGAGATCGCAAGAGGCTTAAAAACCGGTCTGGTCTCTCTCGGTCGCAAGAGTGTGAACGGGCCTTTAAGACTACTGAAAGTTTGATCTGGATTTTACTCTCACTACTACTTTATCAATATTATAGTAATAAGATATAAATATACCGCCATATTTTCAAACAATATGACCGAACAGAATATGGGTTTTACATGCTCTTGGTTGGTTTGGCCCTTTTTTTTACATCGAGGCAACTTTCCACCAGTGCTACATGTACTCACCTTATGGTTTTTATCCAGTTCTCTCACGCTTTGGGGTATTGCGGGAATCTGAAGAAACTGCAAGAACCTTTCTTCATGGGATGGTTACAACCAGCTATGAAGCACTTTTACATAGCGCGAGTCCGCAAAAAAAAAAAAATATTTGGGATCTCAATCGGTTGCCTGAAGTGCTTCTCTCGCAGGTGCAATGCAATCTTTTAGCAGACGATCATCTCGATCGACGACCGGACTTTCAATAAACCATATTTTGCATCGCACCCCACTATGAATTCTTATAAGTGTCTGAAAGTCATTATATTTCAAACAAATACAATATCAGAATATAGTCTTTATTCACACGATCCAAACGATGGTGCCAGCTTGTGGCAGACGGCATACTTCTTGTATTCGTAGTCCGCTGCAGGCATCTTGAGGACCGGAAGTTGCAGTTGTAATTATTCCAGAAACAAGCGATTATTTGCACACTTCTGTTTAAACATACAAGCTTTCTATATCTGTGATTTTAGAAGTTTAAATCCTACTCCTGATTTTTGAACAGTCGGGTTTTCATAGCGAAACCTAGCCACATGTATTTGTCAACATCGACCCTAGCAACGGTTTGTTTGGACTCATGACGTCACACTTACGGAGTCAATTGCTGGCGTCCGTAACCAATTGGCCCATTATTTATTACTTGTTCTACAAACCCAATTTTTTAATTGTATTTTACTCGCTCAATATTTATCGTAAACATACCCAAATCGAGTGAAAATAAAGATGTGGTTTTTCCACTGGTCAAAATATGACTCATTAATTATTAAGATTGGTGATATGCGTTTGCAATGAACAATTTTATGAACCTTTTACAAATAAAGGGTGGTCCAAGCCGCCAGGCTCGACCTAAAATGGACCGTAAAAATTAACGCCTGCATGTAGCAATCTAAAGTTTTCGTCAAAGGTGTATTTCACAGGTCGGTTTTTTCTTGGAAAATTACAAAGCGTGTTCTCTCGTCCCAAGAAATTTTAAGAGGTTTTAACAAGTCTCGTCTTAGGACCAGCTCCACTGCAGCGCATCCGGTCCTAAGAGGTCCGAAAAGGCTTACAAACCAGTCTCGTCTCTTTCGGTCGTACTCGGTTGCAAGAGTGTGAACGGACCTTAACATGATTCTTTTGCCTAGACATAAAAAAAAAAATATGAAGAAAAAAATAAAGAAAGAAAAGGTGGTACTGAAAAGACAAGATATTAGTTCACATTTGAAGACGTGCCTCGATGAGGCAAGCAAGTTGTTTTATTCCTGTGCCCCATTTTGAGTTTAAAGTAAAATCTGTCACTGTGTTGATGCGTTACCATGCTGCCTCTCAAGATAGCAGAAACACTGCCACAGTTTGACTCAGTGAAACAGTTGTCCATCAAAGGTCACAGCACCCCATCACATAGCCATCCGCAACATCTCCCAAACTGTGACCATCACCGGCACAACTTTCATCAGTCTTCTGGCCCCCCCTTGCCATGTCTCTATGAACATAGCTCAAGACAAAGCATAGGTATTTTTTGTGGGACCCCATTACACACCTGACATATCTTTTGCCGCAGAAGCGAAATGTCCCACACTTAAATGTCAACAGTAACATTGGTTCACCAAAATATAGACAGAATATAAATATTGCATGTTCGTCTCCTGGACTTGTCCCTAGAAGTCCTCTGCGCCACACACTGACGACTAATCCCAGTGACTTAGCAGGCTTGCCTCTATTGCATAGCTAGTTCGGCAGATGAACCTGTCATGAATGTTGATCACCATGGCATGACAAAACCTTCCAATAAACTTCTTGCCCCACCAGCCTTACACTGTTCACTCGCCATGGAGATCTCCGAAATGAGGCACTAGTTCCATGCCACTAAATTGCACAGCCTCGCGGTGAGCAAATCACCCCGTAGCCTTGCTGACATCTCCAAGGCCACCGGTCTCGAGGTCCAGGTACCTGCACATAATCAATAATTGCTGTAGCAAAAGGTCACAGAATCCACCAGCGGATGCTACATTTTCTTGCAATGGTCAGTGAACTGAATTACACAGGACCTTGACCTTTCCATTCCAATGGCTCCACCTCTATTCAATCACATATACTTCACTGGGTCCAGTACAAATAGCTTTATTGTTTAACACAAGATCAAGGTAAGGTTTGTTGCAAGGGCAGCCAAATGAAAACCTAATAAAAATGTTTCTCTCGATTTCGACTCCAAAAACATTTTGTCCAGATGAGCAATTTTCATCACTTGTTACCTGCTGCTCACCTGTCATACTTTGGCATTTTCAACAGATTGAAGGTGCTTCCCTCCTTGAGGGTTAGTATTAACCTATGATGAGTGTTCAGGGAAAAAAAGGCTCAGGTGGCAGGCACCAAAACGGCAGCACCCCAGGGTGGCTTAAAAGGTTATTTCAAAACAATGTACTATAGGTAAAGTTCTAGGTTTTTGGTATGACGGCAAACACTGAAAAGTAACCCTTAAAAAGTGTTTCTCAAAATCGGTGGAAAAAAGCAAATAAGAAATTCAAGTTTTTTTTAACAAGAAAAACACCAGTTTTACAACAAACAACCTGTCTTGACATCTTCATTTCGTGTTCTCTTGAATACAGACTACACTGATCTGTTTGCAAGGCTGCTTCCTCCTTTGAAAAGTGTTTCTATGTGTGCCATTTAGCACTCCATGGGTCTTATAGATATGCTGTCACTCCTATGACACAAGCCCTGAGAAACCCTGCATGCATTATGGTCAACAGCAAAAATAGACAATGAATAACATCAAATTTGCAAGAAAAGAATAAACAGCAAGCCCCCCCCCCCCCCCCCCCCCCCCCCCCTCTTTTTGGGGATTTAAAGAACATGGAACTTGGCTTTAAAGAACATCACTTTAAAAGTTGCAGTTACCCAATAAAAAAAGTAAGTGTTACAGTTACAAAGTACCGCTAATAAAGAGTAGCACGTTACAGTTCAAAGCTATTGGAAAAAGTAACAACTGACCGGTAATGCATTACTAGTAATCACACTCCATTTCGCATTAAGATGGAGCGCAGCTGATGCTAGAAGCCATCACGCCCGGCCAGAGTGTCATGGACATTGCGCATTGCTGCGCCAAGCCGGAAGGTCGCCCAACACACTCTCAGCACAGAATTAGTTGTGCTGGCTCGTAGCATCTGCTGCAATCCACCTTAAAAGGCCCCTGAAAAGAAAAAAAAAAAGTTAGTCTTTGAACAGTCTAGTTGGGACACGCGTGTCAAAAGATGAGTTTATGCGAAAAAAATTCGTTTAGACCAATAATGACGGCACAAGACGCCATTTAGTCGGCAGTTACCTCCTTTCCACTTGTTTTCTCTTGGCGTTTCGGGCACATGGAGTAGAAATGGACCGGCTTTGCCTTCACGACCGAGATGGTTATTCCGGAATGACCCGTGACTTCATGGGCTTTGCACACAAAATTTCAAATAAACTCCCGCCGTCAATATTGCTCTAGAAAAATTTTTTTTTTTTTTTTTTTTTTCGCATAAGATTTGATTTTTGACTTGCGTGTCCCAACCAGACTGTTTAAAAAAAACTTTTCTTTTCAGGGACCCTTTAAAGGGACACTGACAGGGTATTTATGCTCGCCGAGGTTTTTAGTTTTATGTGACATATGAGAGCCGAACTACCTAGAACAAAATTTGCAGCTCGAAATTCGGTTTCTTTCCGCCCGAAAACTGCCGATCGAGTCGCGCTCACTCTCTTTTCCAAGGCAGTTTTCTAAGGTTTAGACACGACCATCAAATTTAATCAAAGTCGTGGGTCATTGAAGGCACACAGTGAATCCTAAAAGTATAAAAAAAATGAAACATGTTTTGTAACTCCCAAAAAGCTGCAAATATGTCAATTGAAAAAAAGAAAAAAAAAAAGAAAAAAGGTTGCACAGACAATTGGAAGCATTCTGTGCGTTCACTGCATAATTCTCAACATGGCGTCTTTTCACGTTTCGTGGGACTCGCGGATGACGGGCGTGGGACCTCTACTTCAGAACTGTCGTTCACGGTGTCGGTGCATTCTGTCTTCTCTGTAGCAAAATATTACTTAAATAGTATTCAAACGCCTGGCAAAAAATTTAAAAAAAAATTTGTGAGGGGGGGGGGGGGGCAGTGTCCTTTTAAGGTAAACTTGAGTATGGCTACTGCCCATGACTAAGTAAGACAGTTAAAACCAATTCTGTAAAAAATTTTCGGAGCAGCTCAAGAGGAGAACATGTACATTTTGAAGCAGCTTAGGAGCAGAAAAGTCCACATTAAAGTAAAACATGTATCGCAACAAAAACTTATTATATATAAAAAAAAAAAAAATTTTTAAAAAAAAGTTTTGGAGGTATTTTGGTGCAGGTTTGGGCTGTTTTGGACAATTTAAGGGTGATTTTGGGATAAGATTGACCGAAGGATGGCTGGTCAACATTTTCAAGTCAATTGATATTTTTATATGTCATTGCCTAGTGTCCGGTGTAAATAAACATGTTTATTTTTCATCAGAAAAAGAATCTGGGCGCACAAGAAATCTTCGATCACATAAAGGTAGACGGTCGCATTCACGCTCACTATTGGAGCAGGCATCTTTGAAATTAAATAACTAAAACAATAACACCAGGAGAAGACTAATACTTTTTAGAATCAGAAACAAAGAAAATTATTTAGACATGGTGGGTGTAACCATTACAAATTATTTTGTTAAAGGGACACTCAAGTGGATTCTGATACCGTCTATTGTCGTAACTCAATCTATAAGCTCTAAGCATCCTAAGAAACCCAAAATTAAATTCAAGGCTGGCCGATTTCCCTATTGAAAGTCCAATCAAAGATTGTGCCACGCCCCTCTTTCTGTGCCATGGCGCAGAACACCAGGGGGTGCCACCATGCGCGGCTTCGAAAAGTCAGTCCGCCGGGAAACCGTCACTCGTGATTTACTGTCATGTGCCTTCCCCTGCTGCCTTCCTGTCTGGTGGCACCCTCTAGTGTACTGCACCACAATGCAGAAAGAGAGGCGCGGAAAAATTTTTGATTGTACTTTTACTAGGGAAATCGGCTGCTCTTGAATGTGGTTTCAGGTTTTTTTAGGATGCTTAGAGCCTATATATTGAGTTACAACAATAAATAGACACGGCTGCTATGGTAACTGCAGTGTATTTTGCGGAATACATGTTTTGAAGCTCAGCGTCTAAATGGAGTTCCACAGCACTCTATGGAGCACACAGTTCGTAAACGAAAATCTAGATGGCACTTCGAATTTGGTTTTCACACTAAAACCTAGAAGGTGAGCAGCGAGTTGCGTGCCTGTGACACGAAGACATCAATACTGTGAACGCTGCTCTTCTGGAGCTTGATGGTCACCGTGCACGGCTCACTTTTTAGAGCACTAATGGCCAGGCAAAGCGCAAACACAATATCTTCATCACCCTCTAAAATATGTTGCCACAAACAGTGACGTGGTTGGTGTCTAAAACGCGCTCACACACCACAAAGCTTTGGAAGTTGGGGTTTCTGCAACTTTTAAATATCAGTATGCTCGTTTTTCTAGCACGCATCAATATCTCCGTCACCTGTAATATGATCCTGCCCTAACTGCTTTGCATTTGTACACAAATGAGTCATTTTTAGCGCAGTGACAAGCGTGAACAAGCAGGTGCATGTGAAATCCTGGAGAATCTATCTTCGTCTCTTCTGCCATCTTGGAAGTACCCGCCTTGCCACGTATGGGGTGTTGGAGTTGCAAATACGGGATATTAAGCAATGACAGAAAAATATCAATTGAATTGAAAATGTCGACCAGCCACCCCTTGATCGATCTTATTTGAAATCACCCTTAATGTTTTTGGCACAATTCAGCAACAGCCAATATGTTTTAGTTTTGTAGAAATCTTCATCACATAAATTACAAATTGGCAGAGTGTATACACCGACGTGCGGCGTGCTTTGTTTATCAACACAACGGCAAACTCGCGCATGCGCAGAAGGTATGTGGACAGAAGCGGCCGACCTCTGTGTTTTTGCCATTGCAGTATGTGGTCTACATTTGTTGGTGAGGCTGCACAAGGTGCCTGAATTTCATTTGTTCTTGCATTTTCTGCCAACGAACCTCGTATGTGATGCTAGACTATTTGGGCTAGCTACCGGACTTTGAACGGCAGTGGTACAGACAAACTGCATTGATGGCATTGCACAGACAAACTGCGTTGATAGCGTTGCCTCTGACAATTCTAATGGGCACTTTGACAAAAAGTTGGTGTGCCACTAAAGTCAATGGCTTATGTCGTCATTTATCTGGCGCCTTCAACAAGCTAGTACACAGCTGGCATGATTCAGTCATACAAGTCTCTTGATCTGTAAAAATACAGCACGAGTATAAATGCGCATAACCCTTTGAAAGAACCGCATAAATTGCTACCTTGACCTATCGTGCTACGATTTACTACAGAATTGATCTAGATGGTGCAGCTCAACCTAAAAGTTTGAGCCCCCCCACAGCTAAGGAAACAACACTTTTTATGGGTGATTGCCCACTCCTTTTGGTGCAATATCATCAAACAGCCTTTTGGGCCACCGTGGCATTTATTACGACTGAAAAAATGAGGGAATGGGAAGGAAGTAAACTTGGCTTATGTATTATCTGTCTCCCTTTGCCAAAATAGACAGTGGCCTAAAATGTAATTTGGTTTTCACACGTAAACTATTTTTTTTTCTCTTACTAAAGTGAGCTCTGTTCATTAATATAACTAGAAATGGCCAATTTTATTGAAAAAAAAAAAAAAGGTTTATGTGCAGGCAAGCTGACGGTTGACACTGTGGTCAAAAAAGGGGAAAAAAAAATGAGAAGAGATAGAAAAAAAGGGACAGACAATGTCACAATTATATTCCACCTGTGTGCTAAATTACATTGGTCCGAGCTGTGCACATTATTAGTTTGTACAAATATCACCAATGACGAGTCACATTCGTCCACCCTCATGCTGTGCTGCTCTCTGCGTCAAAAACAAGTTACATTCAAAAATTGGTTTCGGTTTCTATTTTCAACCTAAAAGGGTGCTAGAAAAAAAAAAGCGTTTTGCACTTTTGCAATGTGTTTAGCCTGACAGCAGTTGTTGGCCTGGCAACATGAATTTAAAATGGCGACACGCATGAGGAATGCTAATGGCGGTGATGGTTCCCAGAAAAAGAGCTGTTCCTAGCAGCAGTTCGGACGGCAGCAATGCTGAAGATCCCGAATTTGTCTTCAGAGTGAGTCTCACATTGCCTGTGAAGACAAGACGGCCTCAGACGACGACGAGAGTGACCATGAGAACGTGCTTCTGAAGACTTCAGATAAAGTAGGTCGACTCCTTTCACAAGAGGTAGAAAAAGTTTGCGGGAAAACGCATAGGAATCCTGCCACTGAATGTCAATATGGTAATGTTTATAATATTCCTTTGGCACCTGGGTTTTCATACATAGTTTAAACTGGATGTTATGTTAATGAGCAAATCATAGAGCACAAAAGGTGTGTTCTCCTGCAATCCCCAAATTCAGAAACTGTAGTACATTTACAAGTTTGCAACAGTTGTCATCCGAATTGGATGGCCACCACGGTGATAAGCCGAGCGAGATCAGTTCAAACGCGCGGTAGAAGAAACTCTTAGTATTGGTTCTGCTGGTAATTGTGTAAGTGTCTCGTCTATGGTGATTCACAAGCAAGTACAAACTTTTTGACCAATGCAATTTTTTTTTTTGTCAGTTGCTTGACCTTGGCACGTATGGATGCGTCGAGTGCATTTCTTTTGTTTGCTCTTGCTGACAGTCTGGGTGTGTGACTTGGTGTGAGGGTTCTTGGCGTTGACTGTGGTGTACCGTTATAAAAGGGTGTGGTTTTAGAATAAACCTTCAGCTGTGTTCGAGACGGTGTGTGTGTGTGTCATCCTTTTTTTCGTGTCCTTTTTCCTTCTGGTGTTTCAGTTTTTCGTCTGCAATTCACCAGCTTGCTTGTACTTTTACTCTCCTCTGAGTTATCGCTTTTTAGAATGCTGGCAATTGAATCTCACCTAGCCCGTTACAAACTATCCCGTGCACACAGGGATGACTTACATGATTATGCTTCCTGTAGCAGATCCTCATGCTTGTGGTCGCCAGTGGTCACTCCCTCTTGGCTCACAAAACAATGAAACAGTGATTATAGGCACTTATTAGCAAGAAAACGATTATATCCTAAAGCATATAAGTCACATACTAAAATAATTTGGTATGTCGCGGGAACTGCAACTTTCACATTCCCGTGCAGCAGTATGCAAAATAAAAAATAAGCATGTAACAGGCAACTTGAGGTATTATGGTTACTCATTAACTTAGAGGTAACCTGTCTGCATAAATTTGAAATTAAATTGGCAAGCTCTGGCCATTAAAACTTTTCCAATTAAGACCAGCTGATAACATAAGCCACCTGTTGGAGAATGGCGAGCTCGAGCACCTCTTGACATTCTCCAAAGCGGAAAAAGCTGCACATTCTCGTGCAGTAATACTATCTAAAAAAAAGTGCCGGTTTCAGCGAGGGGCACGCTTATAAACGAGCATTTCGAGGCACTATGGTTGCCCGTTAATTTAGAGACAACCGTTCCGGATCAACTGAAATAAAATTGCCAATCCCTGGTTGTTAAAAAAGCGTTACGATTAAGGTCAGCATATAATGCCTCGCCTAACGTAACCTGTTGGAAGATGGTAAGAGATGCCCCTCTTGCCTTTAGCTCGAGCCTCTCGTGACATTCTCCAAAGTGGAAAGAAATCCAAGCTGTCCAACACGCTATTCCTTTTTGCAAGAAGAATACTGCCCCTTTTTTGTAGTCCAATTGTCACGACTACTGATTTGCAAAGTAGTCATGCTCCTTGAGGGCCAGCACAGACATGCTCGGAACATCCACATGGAGCTGAGCGGATGCTGCTCCTTCTGTAGGAACTCACCTGGCTACAAGGCCCTGCATGATGTGCTGCTGCTCCAAGCTGGTGGGAGGTTTGCCATGCATGGGACCAGAACCAGGGCGTCTTTTGGGGGGGAAAGTACCGTGGTTGTTTTTCCATCTTTTTTTTGTGAGGGATTACCCTAGGTTTTGGAGAAGTCTCATCTGGAACAGAGTCAAGTACTTCTTGGGCCTTGGTACGGTATTTCAACACCAGGGAGCTTGAAGAGCTTGTCAATTTCTTCCTGGAGAGGGACTTGTTCAGTCCACTTATTGTTAAACATATGTTGTCCTTTGAATTTGGTTGAGTCTTCTCCATCCCAAACTCAATACCCTGCCGAATGTCATCAAGAGGGACTGTGGCTCATCATCTAACGTAAAGCCTGTTGCTTCACGTGTTGTTGATGGCATTTCTACACCTGGCTCAGTGTCGGCCTCCTCCACGGTCGTCACATGAATCCCCAGGTAAGCTACTGCGTGAATATGCTTGCACATTGATGATGAAATCAGGCTGTCATTGCAAGTGCACTTGTAACTGTCGATAAAGATATCACAGTCCCTGCAACGAAGCACGCAACTCTGGCGGGGGTCGCCCTTCTCAACATGGTAGCTTCTCTCTGTCTGGGACTGAGACTTTACAAGTCAGCCATTGCCATTTTGCAGCTGTTCTACATCTGATGCTGGAATTTTCATCCCCTCCTGGTGCCTCCGAAAAAGGGCTGCATCATGCCGATTCGTTTTTCCTTTTACGAGCGACTTGGGACGCTTGTAGAGCCGGTCACGGCTCAGTTCGAAGAGGATCATCAACAGCTTGTCAAGCCTCTGGTTGTGAGTTCCATGCATTAGCGTGACTTCAGGTCCTTGTACATTGCCTCCAAGTGGTTGGTAGTATTAAAAGGAATGCCCTTTCTGAAGCAGAGCGCCCACTGTTAGGCTCTGCCACCATGGTAGTGCCCAAAGTACTGAAGAAACTCCTGTACTTGTTGAATTAGTTTTGGATCAGCCTCTTCACTTAGTTTCTGACACGGGAAGCCTGTCGGAGGTCGTTGGAATTGACCCTCATCTTTGCAATTTCTCAGCGCCCACAACTCGTCGCAAAGACGGTCACGGGTTTGCTTATATCTTGGACTGACTGCAACTTCAGAGCCCAGTCGTGGCTTACATGCCACGAGCAGAGCATCCAATGTTGGGCACAGCCCATCACTTCCTCCCATGCATTACCTTTATGGCCTTAAGGAGTGTTTCATAGCCTTGGTGTCTAGTTACTTTGAGATCAAATATGTGCATGGCATGCCTGACTGATCTTCTGCAGCTGTCATGAGTCTTCAGTTGCAGATTGTGGCCATTTATATTATGAGTGTAGTCAATGCACAGAAACTTGGGGCCAAGCTTTGTGAGGCGTTCTTTCTGAGGGACAGTCATCAGGGCAAGCTCAAAGCTCTCTTTTTGTTTTCCTTCCTCCATGTCAGTACAGGACTGGGGAATCTGACTTTGTTCAGTGCCGTAGCTCTTTCGTCAAAATTTCATGCTTGGCGGAGATGTTGCCAATGTCTTTCATTGAGAGCAAATGTAGCCTGCCCATCTCACTGCCAGCAGAAGAATGTGCGTCTACCAGATCTTTACGGGCGGGGATGCCTTGCTTTAGTTTATCAGCTAAAGCCTCCTTCTCAGTCGTAAAGAGGCGCTGGTGCTTCAGTTCCTTCGGGTGGCCGTAGTGTTCTGCCTGGTACTCTACTGTCACCTTGCCATCTTTCTCTGTAGCTTGAATTGTGGCTAAGCATTGCACATTAGTCTTACAAGTGCCCTGGGTTCTCAGTTGTCATTTACCTCTTGCTCTGAAATGATCCAGAGCGGTGGCAGTAGTAATACCTTTTCAGGACACCCTCATCTCGTCCCTTGGGTCCGTCGTGGAGAATGAAGCGAACATGCTCTCTGCCATCCTTAGCCTCCCTCCAGTCGCTGGATTCTGGCAGGCAGAGAAGAAAGAAAGCTTAAAATGAAATGGCCTGAATTAAGAGTGGTATGTCAGTCACATCATATACCCCCTGCTTTAAAACATCTTCATGTTTGTTTCACTAAATGTACATCCCAATCAGACTTTTAGCTGTAGCATGCAGTCCATGGTTTTTTTGTGCTCCCAATGCCCACATAGTAGGTGCACTCCTAAACACTACGGTCTGCAAGAACAGGTTCACTGCACCCCACATGTGTAGTGTTTGCAAGTGCACCTGCTATGTGAGTGACGAAAGGACAAAAAAAAAAAAATATGTTTTGCATATTCATAAGTTCAATGCAAGTGCGCACTACAATGGAGAGGGAGCACAAGTTTCTTTGGCTCCATGTCGATCGCGCATCTTTCACAGAACATTTTAAATCTACGGTTAACCAAACACTAAGAATTTTATTCGCGAATCGATTCATCCGAGAGCTTACTATTTTATTTGTATTCCGATATTAAAGTATTCATACACTCCTAGAAAAGAGTCAAGTCTCATTATAGTGGCAGTCACAAGAGCAGCTGAAAAACCCCAGTGTGTTGGTACCATGTAAACTGTAGACGTGAGATATATGCTTACCATAAAATTCTGAGAGATGCCCCAGCCTCGAAAGGTAAGCCACCCCAGTTTTTGGCTTCATTTGCTTTTTTTTCTTTTTAGTTAACTATTGGGGAGATAACGTGTCTAGTTATTGTGTCGAGTTAGCTATGGCAAGATATAATGAACCATTGCCGACTGGCGAGCCATTATTGCTTCACACTGCAAGTGAGCCCACTCCTTAATTTGAGCCATTTTTTTTAATTCATTTTAGGTGGGCTATCTCTCGGGATATTAGAGTAACACTATGACCCCTCTGCTTCACTCCCCAGGTAGCCATACTCCCATCATACATACCTGTGGCAACGGCCAAAGCCGCTACAATCAGGTGTGCTAGGTTTGTGCTTAAGCTTATGTGCTTAAGCTTACACTGAGCAGCCGAGCAGATAGAGCTCCGCGGCTCGTGCGCATGAACTCGTGCCTTGCGCCCGTGGCTAGAACGTACCCGGCTCTGAGCCGATCGTCATATTAAACCTCTTCTTCTACCTTGCTATCGTGTCACCTTTCCTGACGCAACTTGCAACATGGTGTCAGAAGTGGGTTGCGGAAGTCGTTGAGAGCGGAGATGCTCAAGAGCCACGTATAGAATGTGAAGGCAATCTTCATTCACAGACGAGAAGTGGCCGATGCGTCAAGGCTCCCCTGAGACTTTGACTCTTCTGTATGGGGGAGATGTTGGCTACACTGAGCAGCCGAGCAGATAGAGCTCCGCGGCTCGTGCACATGAAATCGTGCCTTGCGCCCGTGGCTAGCACGTACCTGGCTCTGAGTCGATCGCCAAATTAAACCTCTTGTTCTACCTTGCTATCGTGTCACCGTTCCCTGGTGCAACTTGCAACACGACTTGCAACACTATCCACAAGCTTTAGCGTCAATGCACGAGAACAAGTGTTGGCTCGAGGAATAAAAATTGACATTCTATTTTATCTTAAAAAGGGCTCGGACATTCATTCAACTCTTTCTCGACCTAACGTAACGAGGAAGTATGTTACCGCACAAACAATTCAGTGCTAAATGAATTGCATGTGGTAAAATACTCCTTCAGGACGTTATAAGGTATATACACTGGAAGTATGGCTATTCCCATGCACAGGTGTGCTTTAGGAGGCGATCCTGTTGATGTCCTGATGTGAAAGTCATGCTTGTAAAGTAACATGGCTTAAAGAAAGCTGAAGTGGTTCCTAAAAATATAGTTGGAGGTCAATTCTTGCCTGGTTTTACCCCATGAATCCAAATATGACAATTATTTGGTGCAAAATTGTTGGCAAACGCAAGATATCCATGTTTCACATTCACCGTTTATGACGTCAAATATGGGTTTTCGGCTACACAGCGCATGCCACTCCATAAAGGGTCCCTTTCATTTCATCGAAACTCGCTTCATAAAATTATGTTTCGTGGACAACTTTTCATGAACACACGTTTCGTCAACACAATCGTTTCATTGATGCTTGTTATGCGAATTGCACGCTGTAGGGACATTTCGTCTTGCGTGTATCACCGGGGTATGCATTAACCCACCCACCCGCCTGCCTGCCTGCCTGCCTGCGTTCACGCTGCTTCGCGGCGGCTCATTACAAAAAATGTTAACCCACCTTACCGACACTGCACGAGACTGTCGCAGTGACAGTCTCATGCAGCTTATTACAGAAAAAAAGGTAATCTGAGCTGTCGATGAAACGTCATGCAATGAACTGATTGCCGCTTCTCCAGGAGTACTCTGAGTTGCATAGCTTTGATCAGTGCAGTTGGTGCGCAAGCTTTTTGAGGACCGTGCACCTGCAGAACAAAAGAGCTCTGTATACGACGTCACAAACTACCACTTTGAAAGCACTTTTCAGAGGGGAACGAAAGAATAAACTCTTACCGCACAGCAAGTTTTAAAGGGATACTTCAACGAAATTTGAAATATTCCCGTCGTGTTCAAAAATAGGTTGAATATGATCCACAATATCTGTAAATGACAATCGCACGTTTGTATTTTGAGCCTGGTGGCTATATTTTTCGTTATAAACGGCCCACTCTGGCAAGCGCTGGGAGAAGGCCCAGCGGAGACCACGTGACATCCAACGCAATCGTGACGTAGGTCGTCTCAAGACGATCAAAGCTACGGCGAGGCTGACGTCGAGAGGATGGCCTAGTCGTTCCAGCCACCGAAGCGGCTGCTTTTGTAGGAATTTTGAGTGACGGGTTAATCTTCTGCAATCTTGAAGGGGGACAATAGCGACTTCTGCGACACACAAAAGGCATTCTCGGGAAGAGGGGAGTTCCTCCTGCCCCTCTTCTCTCGTCGTGGCCGGAAGCGAGACGACCTCCGTCACTAGCTGTCAAGGTTCCTAGACGGGCATTACAAGCGAGGCGTTAGCGACATCCACCAGGTGCTCTTTGCTAATCGTTTAATTCGTTTTAAAATTGCTTTTTGAGACTTTTTTAACAAGATATTGGTATGTTCTATGTGATACTGCTCTTTTGAACACATATAGACCAAAAAAATGAGCGGCGAAATTTCGTTGTAGTATCCCTTTAAGCATCTCGAAAACAATTTGCACAAAAGACGAGAGAGAGACAGGACAAGTGGCACTATCGAAAAGAATGTGTCACTCTGAGATTCAAAGAAAGGCATTGTTGCATTTTGATGCTCTAGAAAGATGAACAACCCTCTAGAAGAGAAAAGGAAAGAAAAAAAAAATTAACAAACCAACTTTCTTCTTGTACTTCTCTTAGCACGCATTAAACAGTCAGTCGATACTAGATGGTAACGCTTGTTGCCATTTCTGTTCTTATCCTCTTCTTTTGCAATGTTTTCGAGATGACCAAACTGGCCCAACAATACACTTTTAATTAATTTCCGATACGACAACATATGCTGGGATTTCATGTGGCAGCTCGTGCTATTAGAGGACGAGTGTATTCCCTTTGTGCAATCGCAATAGTCACCATTGGTGCGGATGCAAATTTGTGGTAATGAATTGTCGTCTCTTTTCAGATTTTTTAGTCTTTAAACGAGAGCTTGAATTATATCCTTTCTGCTCTAGGCCCACACCGTATTTTGTAACAGTGGTAGGCATTGTTATTGATCTTTCTTCTGTACAAAAGGTAGAAAACTAAGCGAGCGCACTTACCTTTCAACAAATTGAACTTTAACTTGTCACGCCTCGCGACGATCCCGTGTTTCGCTTCAAAGTGGCGCAGCAAGTCCCCAATGGAATGCAAAAGCTGTTGGACACAGATCGCATGCAAGGCGGCAGCGGACAGTGTGATCCAGCTGGTGTCAGCGTCCCCGTGAACCTCCTTTAGGTGCCTCTTTAAGTTGTAGATTTTCTTGAAGCACATCTCACAAATCATGCACTTGTACTTATGCCGTGTACTAGTCGCCGTGTACTAGTCGCCGTTGTCACAGTGCGACGATGTTTCTTCGCTGTCCACAGAGGTGAGTGCGCGTCGTCGGCTTTGGGAGCGTCGTCTTCCGAGCACCGCTTTGCGAGCTCGTCGGGTCGCTGGGATTGCGAGGCCACGCAGTGCTACTCCGTCCGTTTTGCCATTACTCCCGTTGAAACGGTTCAAACCTGTGGTGCCTGTGGTTCAAACGGTTCAAACACGCCGCTCCGGCAACCTGAGCACCTGAGAACCGTTGAAAACAGCGAGGAGGTTGGCGCCAGTGGGCAAGTCAATCATGATATAGGATAGTCGAGAAATAAACCAGTTAGCTGAGTTTGAGACGTCCCTTTTTGTGTCTGATCCTTCTACTAAAAAGTTTCCAATTTCTTCGACCACAGTCTCAGGTGTTATATGACATGATTATCATCATCATCACTACCATCCGAACGGATTCCCTACGAGCGGTTTTCCCTACGCTGGCGTTGTCCCCAGATCTAGGCACGGGCAGATCTCTGGATAGGCGCTCGCCCGATTCAGGAAATACGTCGGTGACATCAGCGCAGTAAAACCTACCGGCGCACCCCAACTCGTTGCCGCTAACACTCCCATTCTCCTACTGCCGAGAGAACTTCCGGTTCCGGAAACGGTCTACGTCACGGCTTCTTTTGCGGTCAGTTGGAGAGAATGAAAAAGTCGATATTTCAATAATTTTTTGTGTAAAAGTTAATAAACCGAGACGAAAACGGATGCCTGTTCGGCATTCAGTGAACATTGACGGTTTAATGTAAAAGTTATCTGGAAAAAGTAAAAAGGTCATTTCATGGTCCCTTTAACGTTAAGCTGCCCTCTATGTTAGCCACTAACCCAAAGCAGTTTTGGAATGTTGTTAGTAAAAAATAAAAATTCGTAATTTCACTCAAGGCCAGGAACGGAGATGTAATTCCTAGCAATGAATGTGCTCGCGTTTTGAATGATGTTTTTATTAAGTCCTTTCAGACTGTTATTAACACGCCTACTTGTAGATTTGACGCGAGTGATTTTTTGCCTATGGGACCCGAACTTGTCGACCCATTCGGTATTGTTAAAATAATCGATAACTTAAAACTTTCTTCCTCTGCTGGCACCGACAGCATTAACTCAAAGTTCCTCAAAAACACAAAAATGTATTGCTCTTTGATATTATCTCAATATTTTTCCCAGTCGCTTTTACTTGGAGAGTTGCCTGCTGATTGGAAGATGGGGAAGGTGATGCCACTCCACATAGGAGGTGATAAATATTCCCCGAACAACTATCGACCAATTTCGCTTACTAGCATTCCATGCAAGATACTAGAATGATATCATCTACTCACAATTAGTTCAATTTTTAGAATCTAACCTTTTTTTCAGCACCGCTCAGCACGGTTTTCGTAAATCCTTCTCTTGTGTAACGCAACTTTTGTCATTTACCCATGATTTGCACTTAGCGCTTGACCGAGGGTCCCAGGTAGACTGAATTTTTTCGGACTTTTCCAAACCATTTGATAAAGTTTCACACAAGCTGCTGCTATTAAACCTTAACCGTCTTAACATTGACGCAAATGTTCTGTCCTAAATAACTTGTTTTCTCATTAAATGTTTCCAGTTTGTAACCGCTAACGATGAAACATCACCACTCGCCTCCGTCAATTCTGGAGTACCGCAAGGTTCTGTATTAGGTCCGCTATATGTTCCTTAATTATATTATCGATTTGCCGAATTTGATATTTTCTTCAATTAGTTTATTCGCTGATGATTGAGTTATTTACAGAGAAGTTACTAACGCCTCGGATGTTCTGAATTTACAAGCTGACATTAACCATGTTTCAAAGTGGTGTGAATTATGGGGGATGGAACTTAACACGACTATAAATGCAAGGCCATGAGGGTATCGCGTAAATGTAATTTTCCTTCTTACTTTCTCGAAAATGTCCCCTTATACATTCTGTCTCTTCTTTTAAATACTTAGGCGTGTATATTCGCCACTTTCAGCGATGGTGGTACCGCTGTGTGAGAATCGCGCTCCCTAGCTCCTGGATGATTCGCCTCATAATAAATGAGCTTGCCTGCACCTTGCTGGCGTGAAAAAATAACGTAAGGCTCTAATACTGCTCGTATATAGCAAAACTAGAATTACTTACACGTCGCAGACCCAGCCTCGGACCGCTGTTCTACGACGATCATCTAGATGACCGCCATTTTGATAGGCACCCGTGCGCCCCCTATAGGTCGTGAAAGTTGCGAATAACCTCAGATATTTCCTGGCAAACGCATGTTGAGTATGTTATTAATAACGCTAATCGAATGCTGGGTTATGTAAAACGAAACTTTTCACTTGCCCCTTCATCTTTGAAACTAACCCTGTACAAAACGCTTGTACTCTTTAAATTACAATATGCCTCTTCTATCTGGGACCCCGTTCATTCCAAACTAATTCCCTGGAATCAGTTCTGAATCGCTCTGCTCGTTTTATTATTAATAACATTCATCGCACTCCAAGCGTGAGCTCAATGAAAACTAGCCTATTGTTGCCTAACCTCAATTTACGTCGTAAAATAGCTCGCTTATGTCTCTTTCAACCATACTAACTCATTACTTCACAACCGACTGCTGAATCATCCGTCTTATATTTCACCTCGCATTGATCATATGTATAAAGTAGGCATTCTAAAATGCAACACTAATGCATTCCGAGAGTCATTCATTCCGAAAACTTCAGTGGATTGGAACCACCGTCCCGCATCTATCGCAACAATTATTCCTGACCATTTATTTAGTACTGCCTCAGATTGAGCTGCGAAGTGTACTACTGCCACTAACTCCCACTCCCCACTGTAATGCCAATGGCCTTGAGGTATTTGAAATAAATAAATAAATACAATGTACTTTGAAAGTAAAGGACAAGCATTCTAATACAATCTTTCATGATGTACTTTTTTTGACTGGTGTGCATTTCCCAAGGGTAATCACGGTGCATGACCTCTTTTCAAAAACAGCGGCGGATAAGTTTGATAAAGTCAAGTGGCGACAGAGTAGTTATTTTCAAGAATTTAGCCAAATTCAGAAGTCCTTCTGAATTAGGTGCCGCTTGCACTGGATTTTTGTGCCCAAGAGTGTTAAATATATACTAGGAGGGCGCATGACGTCAGTGAGTGCAAGCGAGCTGGTAATAATTAATCATAATGGGATACCTGAGACTGCGAGGTGCGAAAAAAGTGAGGGACTTTCAAGTCGAAGGAAAAGACGAAAGAGAATGTCTCAAAACATTGTGACGTACTCCTTTGTTGTCTATTTCTTCGACTTGAAAGTTTAATTGTTCCGCACCACACTCTTAGCTGCTACATTATGATTAATTTTGCCCTTATAATATTTTAAACCTCCTCACTTGCGCTGAACGACCGAGAAGTAGCGAGAGAATTCAAAAAGCTACGGGAAAGCCGCCCCCAGAACAAGCGGAGCGATGCGTCGTCTGCTCACGTCTCTGCTGAGAGAATATGCCTCCCGGTATTTCTTCAGAGTTGACAAGGCATCATTTCGTGACACAAATTTGACAAAACCAAATTTGGGGAATGTACTTTGAAGTCGGGAATTGTATTTTCCTCCGAAATTACCACAAAAAGTGCTTTAAGTAAAGTACAAGTACATACTCAGAGAATGTACTTCAAGTAAAGGTTTCCTAAATCTACTTGAAGCAGTACTTTATGTACAATGTACGTAAAGTACTTCCCAACACTGCGCTGCTCCGAGGCCGTATGAGCTGGCATCGACAGGACTGCAAAGCAAAGATCGCACTTTGCTTTGCAGTCTGTCTATGCTGGAAAAAGCGGTGGAGAAACTGCATCGTGACGTCGCCGGTAGGAGGAGCTTAATCGCCATCACCAAGAAACTACATCGGAAGAGAACTGCACCGTGACGTGTCCGGTGACGTCGCCGAACAGTGGCGATTGAGTTGAAACTACATCGTTCTTTTTTTCCCTACAGGGAATTTCGGAGAATCGCCGAGTAGGCTAGCGCACACCAGCTCGGAGCACTTGGAGCGAAAGCTCGCGCTGCAGAACCCAGGGATCGTGGGTTCAATCCCCGCTCCTGCCCGTTTCGATCTGCTGGATGAGCATCGTACCGGCGTGCGGTCGTGTGCTGCGTGATGCACGTTAAAGACCCCGGGCTAGCAGTCGTACTGCACTGGCTAAATTGCTTATCTACAGTGGGTAACAATGTCTCCATGGTCAGGCAGACTAACCTCCTGCTGCATATATAACTAACGACAAATTTTACTTTTTGACTATGTTTGACTGCGTTAGTGCAACTTCTCTCGTGCTGTACGAGAAAGAACAAAATGTTCTTTCGGGGGTTAAGTTTTCGGTGAGGTAGAAAGCAAAAAAGAAGAAAAGAGAATATTTCCCTCAAGTTGGGCTCGTAGTAGAAGAGGGGGAAGAAGAAAATCAGTTCTTAGTCCCACGGTGTGTATGGTCTTTTCTTTATGTGTATGTTTATTCTAGCTCAGCTGGCCTGACCTGAATTAGCTGCTTTAAAATGAAGCATATCTCGCTCTCTCTACCTGAAGTATGAACGAACTAGCTCAACTTAAGCCTGTTACCGTTGCTTGCTTGGCTTTTCGCTCAGCCAAATCGCTTATATGGGCTGCACTCAAATGAAAACACAATCGTGTTAATTCGTGTAAGAGTATTTAGAATATCTATCGATCACGCCGCTGAACTTGCATCGCTCGAAGAACTTCCTTTTTGTGAGCGCCTTCTCTGCTTGAGTTTGTTGGAAACACAGCCACTTCGATCCGAGGCAATCGATGATAGCGTTGGTGACATCACCAAGTACGTGACTCACAGAGTACTGGAGAACACCAATGTTTTCGTCGCTCCCGACGGTTCCCTAGAAGCCGCCAGCCGCGTAAAAGCGTAGAGCTGCGAGGACTTGTTGTTCGACCGTCAGCACACGGGGCCCTTCAAGACAACGCTGGAGCTTTCCGCGAAGTTGTCACACAACCAGCGAGTCACCCCTTTGGTCAGTTGGTATTCGCCCACAAACCTCGCATCGCTCGTCTCGAAAGCATCCCGGTGATCTCTAAAAACTCGATCCGCTGGCGAACCCAACAGTAGAGATGCATATGTTAGAATCGCCATCTTTTACGATGCAGATTGATCTCTGGCTTCTCCTCGACCACTCAGTTAACTGCATCGTCAAAGTGCATCGTGACGACATTTTGACGTCACCGCTAACTGCATCATTTTACGAGCATAGCTCGAACTGCATAGGGAAAAACTACATTTCAACGTCATGTCACGTGACCCGAGAGAAAAGCCAATCAGTGCCCGATGCAGTTTTCTACATCATGTAGTTGGCGTTCCAGCATTGACAGACTGACCTCCGAGCCGAACATACTCGTCAGCTGATGGCTGACGAGTATGCTCGCAGGCTAGCACCCGGATCGGTGCGGTTATATTCGACAGATGTGGAAGAAGCAGCCGACCACCATGACACCCAAAACACCACTG